CGGCCTGTACCTGTCACCAATGCATGAGCAATAACAGCACCGCCGGACCCATGCTAAGCCGGTCACGACATTCCTTCACTGCGGGGCAGGCCAACCGGCCCAGCCTCCAGCCCCAGCATGGAAGACTTCCTGGAACCAGTTCCTCCTTAGCCTACTCGCCCTACCCCAGAAGACCCCTCTCCATGGGGAACTTGTTATGGAATGGCCCCTGGAGCACCCCCACCTCGGTGGCTCATTCTTCAGGACCGCCACAGGCTTTTGGTCACCATGCAAATGGCTTAAGGTAAGACTACTAGGCCTAGTTCAGAAGTTGAAAAAATGCAGGTTATCCCTTATTTGATATTGTATTTCTATATTTACCATTTGTGACCCTGGACCACAAAACCAGTTATAAGTAGCATGGGTATATTTGTAGCAATAGCCAACAATACATTGTATGGGTCAAAATTATTGATTTTTCTTTTATGGCAAAAATCATTAGGATATTAAGTAGGGATGCTCATTTTAACCGTTAAGCGACCGTAAGAATTTTGACCGATTAATACAATCAGTTAAAGGTGGGGTAAGCGATTTCTGGTAGCCAATTTTGACATTTGAAATCACCAAAACAAACACACCCCTACTCCAAAAGGGTCTCGCCCCTATTTTGATAGCTCCGCCGCCTTAAGCCTTCTTTTGTTCCGCAGACGTTTTCCTCTTTTGTTTTTTTTTTATTCGCCATCTCTATCTTTCTGTCGCTCGGCTCGGCTAATGTCCGTCCTGTGCACTGAACGCTCTCTCCTCCACATCATGAGTAGACACGCCCCTTACTGCTGATTGGCTACAAGTTTGTTTTGCTACTCGGCCCGAATTAGTTTTCTAAAGCGTTTTTGAAAAATCGCTTACCCCACCTTTAAACGGTTTAAAAAGTCATACATTTTTTTTTTTCAGTAATTTATCAAAATATTTAAAAAGGTTTCAACAGCTCTGGTGGACATTCCTGCAGTCAGCATGCCAATTGCAAAAACTTAAGGGTGTACTCACTTTTGTGGCCAGTGGTTTAGACATTAATGGCAGTGTGTTGAGTTATTTTGAGGGGACAGCAAATTTACACTGTTATACAAGCTGTACACTCACTATTTTACATTGTAGCAAAGTGTCGTTTCTTCAGTGTTGTCACATGAAAAGATATAATAAAATATTTACAAAAATGTGAGGGGTGTACTCACTTCTGTGAGATACTGTACACTCCGTTCAAAAGTTTAGGGTCTGTAACATTTTAAAAAAGATATTTTTAAAGAATTATTTTATGAACACCAAGGCTGTATTTGCTTTATCTACATAAATATAGTTAGAGAGTAATATTGTGAAATATTATTAGAGTGGTTTCTATTTTAATATATTTTAAAATGTGATTATTATTATTTATTTATTTTTGTGATGGCAAAGCTAAATTTTTAGCAGCCATTACTCCAGTCTTCAGTGTCACATCATCCATCAGAAATCATTCTAATATGCTGATTTCTTAGTGTTTAAGAAATATTACTTATTATTTTAAATGTTGAAAACAGTTGTGCTGCTTAATGTTTTTGTGGAAACTGATACATTTTTTAAGATACGATAAGATTGTATTTATTTGAAATAGAAACGTTTTGAAATATTATGTCTTTACTGTCACTTTTGATCAATATAATGCATCCTTGCTGAATAAAAACATTCATTGCTTCTAAAAAATCTTACTGACCCTAAACCTTTGAAAAGGTAGTGTATGTTTAAAAGACATATCAGATGGCATAGCATTAATTACACCATGACAGCTTGAGAAGGCTGGGGAATTTCCTTGGATCGTATCTTGCTTTCATTTGATATTTAATAGGTCGTCAACAGGAATCTCAGCTAACTCAATTCCCTCTCTCTTTTGTATCATAAAAAGAACATGGCACAGCTTCCGTAATGGGAGTGTAGGTCATTGTGAAAAGCTTTTGTTCTCATGCATTAATGTCTATGTGCATTAAAGTATCTATGTATCTGTCTCCACAGCATCCCAACCATCCCTCTACACATGACCGGATCCAGTAATGTGAACTCTGCACTTGCAGGTACAGCACTCACCCGTCACACATGCCACACCAGAAAAAATCCTTACAGTGATGCACTGGGCTCTCCTTCTCCTCATCCCAGACAGTGTTTGATGCTGCAGTAGCAGCTGAACTGTTTCTTGGGAGTGTCAGTGTGAACCACACAAACGTTTCCCAGAGCAGTAATAGTCAGTGAAGTTAGTTTTGGCATTCTTCAGTGAATATGTCACAAGTCTATTCATGCCTCAGACTTGCGGTATATTGGTTCCACCTTGATGTTTTTGTCTTACATCAGCTGCTTGTCACATATCAGTTTATGACATTAGTGGCTTCATTGAGTCACCAGTTTGTGAGGTTTGAGTTGGTGTGCTTTGAAAGAGCTTGCCTTTCACGAATTTCAAGCTAATGGTGCGTGTCTGGGGATGTTGGATATCTGTTGCTCTTGTAGCTGACAGCAGCTGCACTAAGATGCATGAGGCGTTCGGGGAACAGAAAGACAGATCTGGGACAAAGTGACATTTCCAATGCAATTTTCACTAGACTGAAGGTGGCGTGATCGGTGCAAACATTAGATTAACTGTAGGATTTCTTATCGCTCATGATTAACTGTTGACCACTCCATTTTGTGGACATTTTATGTGATTATAGTTTTCATCCGCAGCACAATCCACGGACATTTTTGCGTGATTTTTGTGTATGTGCTGGCTTCTGCATGGACAATGGTGTGTGTGCGATGAGTGCAAATAGTTGAACACTAAACTATGTAGTGTGCAAACGATGAAGAAATCGTTTAGGACTATAATGTCAGACTCGGATGATCCAAACACAAATGTTTAGATGGGTGATCTGGATTTTGTGAGAGTTACAACATTGGTGTAAGTGTTAGTTGTTTGAATATTGAATGTTAAATAAATAGTTAACCCCAAAATTAAAATTATGATCATTTACTCACCCTCAAGATGTTTCAAGCCCATAAGATCTTTGAAAAACAAATTAAGATATTTTTAAGGAAATGTCAATCCCACCAAAACTTTGACGCTTCAAAAAGTTCATAAAGACAATATAATCCATATGAAATCCATATTAATTAAATAGTTTACTCCGTCTTTTGAATAAACACAGTTGCGTTATATGATTAACCTATGAAAATGGAAGAAACCAAACAAAACAAAAACTCTGAAATGGTTACTGAAATAGGTTTGAGTTGGTTATTGTAAAAAGTATGTATGAACAGCCAGAATTTAAAAGTTTTTTTCCTAAGAAGTTTTTCCCATGTCATTTTCTAGTATTGTACAGTCCTAGTTTGGAACCACATGAGAGTGAGTAAATGACTGAACTATCCCTTTAATATTTTGTGTGGTATTGTGCCTGTGTAAGTAAGGGATGTGGAAGATTATGATTGATTATCTTTATAATCAGTTTGTTGGTGGATTGCCTAAATTGTGGATTGCTTGAATGGCTAATCCACAATTTAGGCAATCCACCAACAAACTGATTATAAAGATAATCAGTTTGTTGGTGGATTGCCTAATCGTCTTAAAGGGGTCCTATTATGCTTTTTCACTTTTTGAATTTTAGTCAGTGTGTAGTGTGTATGTTTGGGCATAAAACAGATCTACAAAGTTACAAATCTCAAAGTCCACTCCAATGGGAGATATTTCGTTTTTAAAAAATCCCTTTTCAATAACTACAACAAACGGCTCGTTTTCCGAGTTTTGTGATGTCACAAAGCGGTCCATTAGAATATCATTAAAATAATTCCCGTCTACGGAAATTCGAATGGTTGGGGGGTGGGGAGGGACGAGGTCATGGTTAGAACGCTTGGTTGAGTGCATCAGACAAGAAGACGACGACGATGAAGAAGTGCTGCTGTAGCGTCAAGTTTTCGCAAGTTATTACACATGCACCTGAATAATTATGTATGTAAATATGTACAGTATGTCACAATTATGAAAACGTTTTTATAATAAATTGCTGACAGTACAATACTGGACAATGATGTAATCTGCACAATTTACACATCAACTATGAGACTACAGTGTTTCCCATACATTGATTTATTTGTGGCGCCCGCCACAATATCAAAACTGACCGCCAAAAATAGATTTTCCAAAAAGCTTTGACTTCGTTGAATAAACATGAGCACTGCATATTTCTAAATCGAAACCCGGTGCGGGTGTTTTTATGTCACTGTATTTCTGAAGGAAACCAACTGTTTTCAGAGAATTTTGGATGTCATTTTCATTTCTTCTTGCATGTAATGTCTGATAAAGCAGCGTTTGTGAGCGGAGAGCTGCTTTTGTGTACAGCGGTTACCAAGGAAACCTAGATCTCTACCACTCCAACAGCACCTTCTGCTGCCAGAGAATGGATTTGCATATATATATATGCCGCCAAAAAAAGAGTGCAAGTCTGTGGAAAACACTGGACTATGGTATAAATAAATTCAACTGTATAACAGTTTCACTGCAATTCATGTTATAATATTAGAATTAAAGAACAATAAACATAATACATATTACAGTTGCACTTATCTGTACATAGTAAATGCAGTTATTTTTTAGCGGTTGTTGACATCCTATCTAAAACGTGATTTAGCAAAAAAACTAAAACAAAACAACAATAACGTTACCACCATAGATATGTATATATACCACTCTAATATGTCTTGCAATATCCGTGCAAAGGTTCTGCGCGATTATCTTGTTCAATAATTTCGGGGTCTGAATCCGACTCAAATTGACATAGCAATATCGACGCCATCCTTAACTATACCGGAGCAGACGGAACTTGCTGCTTTGGCAAGGGGCGGGGCAGTACTGAAACACCATCTAAGCTGTTCGCCGATCACAACGCACTGGGACAGCTAACCAATCACAACACATTTCGTTTTTCGGAAGGCGGGCCTTCATCAAACCTGGAACTAATCGAGCCGTTTGTGCCAGGCTGGGGAGAAAGGTATGGTAATAATGTAAATTATGTGAAAAATAATGCGTTTTTCGAACTACCACGCATGAGAACATGTTCTAGCACACCCCCAAAACAAAATCAAGACTTTGTAAAGGAGCATAATAGGACCCCTTTAATGTACTGCATAATTACACTAATTTGGGTCCATCTGACCCCAACCAGATGTTTTTCACAACATGGGTCTCAAGACAAAATAGTTCAACTTCAGAAGTCTTGCTCTCTTAAATATGTAATGGTTATGTTCAGGTTTTTCCAAATGTGTTGGTGCATTTAAAGACAAGTTTAAAACCCTGTGCTGTTTTAATGTTGTTTGTGATGCATCAGGAAGCATACACTTTTCATGCTGGTCTGTTATTATGGTGTAATGGATTTCAATTTCCTAAATGTCACTTAAAAGCAGCTTGATTTGTGGTTGGTAACTTTACATGTCAATCAAATGGTCTCTTCCTGTCACCGTGGACCAGACTTTATGCAAATAGTCAGATAGCCAAAAGAGACCCGTGTTTCCTCTGAAGGTGGTTTGAATGATCGAATCACAGTTAGTCTCTGAAGCGCATTGGATTCTGTGTACTGCATTTAGCGTATTTAGTCCTAGATAAATATCAAGAGCAGGTGGGATTGTAGACAGCATCTATAGCTGGACTTAGGGCTGCACGATAAATCGCATGCAATATTTAATGCGCATCTTGTCAGAAAGCCGGTTCTGTAATCAGCGGTAAATCTCCATCACCTGCGGGCTTTCACATTGAGCAGCATTAACTACACAGAGCCGTTGTTCACTGATGAGCTGCGCCAAAAATCGCGCGAATATGAACGTGGTTTTGCGCAGCTCGTCAGTGAACAACGGCTCTGTGAAGTTAATGCTACTCAATGTGAAAGCCCGCAGGTGATGGAGATTTACTGTTGATTCAGAGTCCAGAGTGCTAACCATTACACCATGGAACCTTGACGACAGTGACAATTGCTCACATTGCCGCAAAGACTAAATAACAGATGCGCATTAAATATCGCATGCGATTTGTCGTGCAGCCCTAGTTGGACTGATATTGTTTCCTCTGCAGTAAGTAGGACCCTAAACTTTTCTTGACCTCATCAGAGCATGCCTCACTTGTGGTTGGCTTCTCCACTCTTTGCTCATTACTCTTCCTTTCCTTCACTCCTCCTCCTCCTCCTCCTCCTCCCTTCCTCCTGCATGTCTCCACATGGCCTCCGGCCGTTCCAGGCATGACTTCCATTTTGATGTCAGCTGCAGGACTGGGGGTTCGCTTCTTGACCGCCCCCTTCTCCCAGAGTGGCTCCAGCAGGCCCACCAAAAGCCAGCCCAGCTCCGTTAAGAGGGCAAAGAGACAGTCCAGGACAGGTAGTTAAGCACCGCCAACCAGCTCGACCAAACCTGCCCTCCGCTGGCCTGCAAACTGCTGCTGCTCCTGTCCTTTTTTTAATTGCTGTTTTTCTTACCATTCTACTTTCCGTTTATATTTTCCTCAAGGGGTTTGGTACTTCAGCTTCATTCTGACATGCTCCTTCTGGCCATTGCAAGATGTTTGTTTTGCTGTTTATCGCTTGCTTCGGCTGCCATGTTTTCACCCTTTTCATGTTAATGCTGTCATGGTCACGCTGTCTTGCTTCCATCTTCCCGATCACATAATGAATGCATCACTTGACACCTGCCTGCTCACCTGTGGGACACTGCAGACAGATGTCTGCTGGGGGGGTTTATGGAATAACAATTGTTTGCTGGTCTGTTTTTTCTTTCCCTCTAACCCTACATAACCTGTGTTGTTGTTAATGCCATTTATTTTAATGTCTTTAATACAGAAGATGAATATTAGGTTCAGACTGACACTCACAAGCAATGTTAGTTTACTGCTTTAATTTCAGCTTAATAAAACATCCTAAACACATTTTCTGTTGTCTGACAACTCTAAAAACTAACACCGGGATGTGTAATCTGAACAGTGTCTGCTTTGATATGGTATGTTAAAGGCTGATGAGTATCAAAAATTGACTGTTTAAAGGAGAATAGTTCACCAGAAATGAAAATTTTGTCATTTACTCTCCCTGATGATGCTCCAAACCTGTATGAGTTTCTTTCTTATGTTGAACATAAAAGAATATATTTTGAGGAATGCTGGTAATTGAACAGTTGATGGTCCCCATTGACTTCAATAGTGTTTTTTTTCTGCTTACTATGGAAGTCATTGGCTAACATCAACTGTTTGGTTACCAACATTCTTCAAAACATCTTCTTTTGTGTTCAGCAGAAGAAAGAAACTAAGATCTATATTTTTAAGTGACTGAGATGTCTCTCACACTCTCTGCCCATCACTGAGCTGAACGATGTGTTTTTGTGTGGCGCCCCCAGGTGGAAACCATCGGTGACGCGTACATGGTTGTGTCAGGCCTTCCTGTGAGGAACGGGAAACGTTCACGCAAAGAAAGAAGGCGTAACTTTTAGTCTCACTGCTATATGTGACATGTCGTGAAGACGCTGTGTGTTTCGTTGTAAAAGCGAAACTACTTTGTTTGGTCTTCCAAAAGAGGACAATATCTGCTTCGTCATGCCTAGAGCTGATCTGTGCTGGTCGCTGAGGGAATACATCAACTTTCACTGTGGACGAAGCGGAATCCAGCCCGGGGTCCGTCACATGTGGTTGCCGCTCATTCGTCGGATCCGCCGGGTGCACCGTTCTCGACCCCGCCGCCTCAGCTCGTGCTAAGCCGGGGCTTCCGCTCACTCTAGCCCGGCCTCAGCGCACGCTAAGCCGGGGCTTCCCCTCACGCTAGGCCGCTGTGTTTTTC